AAGTATCGTTTAGCTGCTCTTAAATCGCGTCAATGCAAGTCACCAGACAATAAGCAATATTGCCCGGAGGCAGTTCTTAACATGGTAGCCGAGAAATTAACTTACACCGCCGTCATGTTCATTCAAGTTGAATTGTTAAATGAGTTCTTTTTCCAATTTCCGAGAGAAGTTGACAATCGTCTTGTGTATGACTTGGATCGAAAACAGATTTTGTCATTTGCAAAGGAGAATCCAAACATACGGAAACATTTGGAATTGCAAGAAAGAAAAAGGAAACTAGAAGAGGTACGTTTTCACGTATGAATTGTGTTTGACGCACGGTCCCTGGTCTAATGTGATCATTTTATTACCAGGTCATGGAAAAATTAAACTATCTGGTTAGGCGGCAAAGAGACATCGAAGGTCGCAAGGGCCCAGGAAGTTTATATACGTGATTCTTATTTTCGCGGAAGTAGCGTTTTCCGAGAGAAATTATCATAATAATAATAATCAAAATAATTTCGTTTTTATTTTTTTCAAAATTTCAATAAGAAATCATGCAATTGTAGATTATCGACACCTCTCTAGATCTAACATTCTACCTACTTTATTCTTCTATTTACAACACAATAAAATGATGTATATATTAAATCTATATTTTAACATAAGAGCGAGGTTGGAGAATTGTCTATTGAAAATTATCATTATTATACAAAAAACTTCTTATTTGAGCAAACGTAATCTCCCAATAATTTGCATGAGACGGTGGGTTGTTAAATTCCAACTGACTTTGCGCCGTCGCAAACCCATTCTTCAGGTTTTGTCACGGTAAATCTATACGACAGGAGATGAAATAAAAAACCTGCCATCGTCATCTCACAGATGTAAGGTGTGACGACGCAACCTTAAGGTCATGCTAACGATTAATACTGATTTCTAGACCATTAAACAAGAAAATCAATAAATCATATTTATCCGGTTTTTCGTTTTTTGGAAGTCGGCTTATCAAAACCTCCGTGCATGCCACCCATTTTGGAAATCGTCGACTTGTTGACCAAGGTGTTTTTACTCCAAGCAGCATCTTTCTGTAAAATCAAAAATGTAATATATGATATAAATAAAGTATGATTTAAGAGAATCCAAACTTGAACCAGTTGGGTACGAACCTTTGAAGTGTCTTGGTCCACCAAATGTGTCCATTTAGTTTGTCCTGCACGACCAAAATTTTTGACTTGCATAACTTTTGGTAATAATTCCTTGTGAACTAAAACAAATATTTTACATATTATTAATAATATTTCTGGAATATAGAATATCCATGTAATTCATATTGTTATAATCATGCAATGTCAATGCATAATATCTCTCAAGCTACAAGGAACCACGGAGCTATGTCATAATCATAAACTTAGACAAGTGAGAAATCATTATTGCACACCTGCTTCATCCGGTGTTGCGTCGGTATAATTCCGTTTAAAGATTTCTTCGTTAGAATCCTGAAAAGAAATTTATATCCGTATCGAAACGTGTACAAAAATTGACATATACACACATATATATGTTATATTAAACATACCAGGTAGAAGGCACCCTTGTGATAATACTTCTGTAGGAATTTGTATTGCCCTTTGGGTTTCTCATCATTTTGTTTCTTTATACGTTCCATATCTTCGGCAAGGCGTTGCTCTTCGGACATATTACGTCTTCTTTCAATTTCTGCACGCTCTTTTTCTCTCCTGGAAAGAAAAGATGTTTTGTTATGTAAGACCTAAACAAAACAAGATATACATGAAACTTACGTCTCCCGTTCTTCTCTGTCCCTTTTTATGCGCTTTAGTTCTCTTAGCTTCCATGCCTCGTATTCCGATTGTTCATCAATGCCGTCCGTGTCGTCAACCTCGTGAATACCAGTTTCCTCGTTAACTACAGTAATCCGTTTATAATATACATAATGTGAAATTTCCGCTCAGAGAATGTCCACAGAACATAATCGTCGAAGACTCACCCTCCTTTTGCGCCTCTTTTTGAACTGCTTCGGCTACCATCACGTGCGATTCTTTTCTTCTTTCTTCTAACTCTTTAAGCCTCTTAGCTTCCGCCTCTTCAGCCAATTTCTCAATTCTCTCTCTTTCTAGCACCGTCTCTCGGTGAGCTCTGAAAGCACGAATTTTCTTAATCTTCAAATTTTTCACTGATCAACTATTTCTTCATCTAAAATTCGAAA